ATCACCCTACGTAGAGAAAATGGGAAATTGAGTACCTCCCATTCCTTGTGTTTGCATGGTGACTTTAGGGATCACCTTTGGGACACCCTGTAAAGCAGTAAGAGGGAGGCTTAGTTTTAAAAATCATGAATTGTGGAAACATTTTTTCTGTTGTAAGAGTTTTGTCCAGATTATTAGGACAAACAGCAATGAGTATATTACTGTTTATATTATGGGTTGAACATCTCCAATCCAAAAATCAAAATGCAAACTGCTTCAAAATCCAAGACTTTTAGAGCACTGGCATATGCACAAAAGAGCATTTCAGATTTCAGATTTTTGTATTTGAGATACTTAACTGGTAAGTATAATGCAAATATTCCGATATCCCCCCAAATCCAAAACATTTCTGGGGTATATAACCTGTAATACCAACAGACATAATGTATCTGGAAAAATTTTTGGTTATAAACACTATCCAAATGAAAATATGGCTTAATAGAAAAATTTTCTATTTTCTAGAAATAGAAAATTCATTGAATTTTATTTTGGACGTTGGGAAATGACTTCATTTCACATAGTCTAGCATTTGGTTATGACACATTCTCATATATTTTGGCCTAAATTCTGCTCCCTGTCCTGTGATCATGAATGTCGATTTCCCTGCCACCAGGTAACTCTGCTGGATGTGTTTCAGGTTTATACATTTCCTAGTTTTGTTAAGGAATCCATGAGATGCCAGTTAATCTGTTAGAATTGAAATAATATAGCTCTTGGCTATGTTTTAACAGATTATTGTATTGAAAGAAAATAATGACTGCTTATAAAGTAACTTTTTTTGTAAACAAAAAATGGGAATAATAAAGTAATAAAGAGACCTCTGCTGATTCTTATTATTGTAATAAGATACTCAAAGTAGAATATGTGGCAAGCAAAGGAAAATACCTGTTCTGCTGAAGAAATCTCTGCCTTCTCTGACCTCTTCCATACATTCTATCCCTCTCTTCCCACCCCCAGCTTTCTTTAAACAACAAAAAGCTCCTGAACTTCAGCCATTCATTCTGCAAATACTTACTGAGCCTTGGTGTGTGTTGGGCTCTGTGCTTGATCTGGGGAGTTAATTTAGTTATGCATTCTATCCAGTAGCTGACCAGGGGAGGCTTATGGTCTGTATGGTAGAAAGACATGCTCATGTGCTAAATATGACAAGGCAAACCTTAGTTTAGTTGAGAAAATAAGAGAGGGAAGACCTCAAGCAGGAGGGAGTATTTGAGCAGGACTGAAGGGTGGGCAGGAGGTTGGAAGACAGAACTGAGAGAGCGTGGTACCTGCCAAAGGACTTAGGAAGAGTTTTGGGAGGTGGGCACGTGTCAGGTACCTTTGTGGACCAGCAGGTTGCTCAATTTGGTTGGAAAACCACTATCTCACAAGCAGGAGCTTGAGCCGGTAGGTGTCAAATAGGCCTTTCAGCAACTTTTTTATAGTTGAATGGTAGAGAGCTCTTAAAGACTTTTGAATTGGGGAGTAACTCACTGAAATGGGAACATTAGGAATATTTGCCTCTTAGCTGCCTTAAGAAACACAAGAAGGAGGCCCGATAGTTCAAGTGAGAAGAAAAAAATTCTTGATTTAGGATGGTGGCAGGTGGGTAAGGGAATGAAAAGATACAAACTTACAGAATGTGTAATGTGGCTTTGTTAGAGACAGAATGCCTAAAGAGTCAAAGTGTGTACGTGGGGATATCGACAGAAAATATATTTGACCGTGTTGAGTCCAAGAATTGAAATCCTAGTGCTAGGAAGAAGGTAGTTTTGTGGGTCTCTGTGAGGGTAGGACAGCCTTCTCTATCCCTAATCCCCCAGTTTCAGACACCATGCTCAATAAAAGTTTGTGGAAGGAATGAATGTGGTGGATTAAGTTGTACACGTGATCAACTTTACTGTTGGGACAGAACTGTCAGATGATTAAGGGGCTAGCTGACCTGGGTTTGAATCCTGACTTGGCAGTTCCTAGCTAGGAGATCTTGAGCAAGTTACTGAACCTTGAGTTTCCCATCCTGCAGGATAGGGTATAACACAGCGAACTGTCTTTTGGGATATAGTATTATCTCTATCAAGTGAATAAATTAATACACACAAAACATTTACCTTGCATCTGGTGTATACCTGAGATGAATGCTTCTCAGGCCTTAACTGTTTTTACTTATGGGAAAGAGTAGAAATGACCCAATCTTTGGAAGAAATGGTAAAGGAGAAGGAGGAGCAGGTTGGAGAGGTAGGAGGGGTCCTGAAAAGAGCAGTATTGGAGATCCCAGGACAGGAGACTGCGTCAGTGTGGAAAGTAGCAAATTCAGAGAGATCAGGGGGTTGAGGACTGAGACCAGACATTGGGTTTTGGTGGTTCTGGAAGACATCAACCAGCCCTGGAGGGAGAGGAGAATCCTGGTTCCCTGTGGTTAGGGAGGGCATCAGGAAAAAGGGAAGCAGAGGAAGGAATGAAAGGGAAGATTTCTAAAATCTCATTAAAGACAATAAGCGCTAAAGTTTGCACTATCAAAGTTTGGTAGGCTAGGGTGTTCCAGCCCGCCACTCCGCACGGCTCTTTGTTGTTCATGTGATCAGTCCCCTGGGCGTGCGTTGCATAGTCTGTGAGGTCCTGTGCAGCAGTGCCAGGCCACTGGCTTAGATGATATTGATGAATATAGTAATATAGAATGTAGATAAAGACTAATAAATTCATTCTAATCAATATGGTAAAGTGTTGCTTTAAGACAGGGATATGTTTTAAGGAATGTATTGTTGGGCAGTTTTGTTGTACGAATCACCAGAGTGTACTTACACAAACCTAGATGATGCACTCTCAGGCTGTGTGGGATAGCAGTAGCTGCTAGCTATAAGCCTATATCGTGTGTCACTGTACTGAGTACTGTAGGCAGTTAGTAACACAGTGTTAGCATTTGTGTCCCTAAACATAGAAAAGGTATGGTAAAAATACAGTATTGTGGTCTTAGGGGACCGCTGTCATATATGTGGCACCAAAAAGCTGTTATGTGGCACATGGTACATTATAACCAGTACTTCATGGGTTCTGTGGCCAGCAGTATTTTAGGAACTTATGTATAATCTCATTTAATTCTCCCAGCAACCCTATGAGGTATAGGTGTTGTTGTTCTCCTTTTGATAGCAGTAGCTGCTAGCTATAAGCCTATATCGTGTGTCACTGTACTGAGTACTGTAGGCAGTTAGTAACACAGTGTTAGCATTTGTGTCCCTAAACATAGAAAAGGTATGGTAAAAATACAGTATTGTGGTCTTAGGGGACCGCTGTCATATATGTGGCACCAAAAAGCTGTTATGTGGCACATGGTACATTATAACCAGTACTTCATGGGTTCTGTGGCCAGCAGTATTTTAGGAACTTATGTATAATCTCATTTAATTCTCCCAGCAACCCTATGAGGTATAGGTGTTGTTGTTCTCCTTTTATAGCTGGGAGGTGGGGGGGAGGGAGAGCACTTGGTAACATGCCCAGAGTCCCACACAGCTGGTAATGGTGGAGACAGTATAAAATGCCAGCTGGTCCAGCTACAGAGCCCAGGCTGTCAATAGCCATATTCTGCTACTTCCTTTATTTTGTTGCTGAATTGCTTAGGTAGAGCAGATGCTATTAGGTGTTGTATGTGATGAAACAGGAAAGTACTAAAGAAAGGAAAATTGAACATAAAGGAAAGGGCTGGTGGCGCTGATGGAGCAGGGCTTCAGAGGGTCAGGAGCACAGGAAGAGGATCAGCGATGGAAAGTAACCCCACATGCTCTTCAGGAGAGGACGAGAGGGTTGACAGAAATGTAGAGAAAGAAAGAGACAAGTCATTCTGTGGAAGAGATGGAAAGATAGACAATTTTAGGAGATATTTTGAGGTGGTGAGAGAGGGCACCATCCAACGTGAGACTTTTCCAGTGAATTTTAAGAGTAGTCTCCTACTGATAGTTTAATTAGACCCAGTTCAGCTACTGGAGCAAAGGGCCTGAATAAGCTAGCATTAGGAGGGGTCATTCATCAAACTTGACAGATTTCCAAGTTACTGTCTGGTGGAACCATGAAACACCCTCCAAGGAGAGGGCTGTGTTTTGGTCAATGGCTACTGAATTGACTTGCTGTGACAGGTGGAGTTGAACAGAAGTAGGAGGTTGAGTCATGTTGTCCTTTTTCCCCATTTGTGAAGATGTTCCAGGTTTAGGGAAGGAAGGGAAACACAAAGCAAATGAAAAGAAGAAAGAATGAATGAAAAAAGAGAGACATTTTGGAGTTAAGGGGTGCTAAGGCATGGGTGGCACTTACCTGAATAGCTCCTGCATCACACCTATGCAGGGCTGTCCAGAAATAATATATGTCATTTAGAACAATGCTTCTCAAACTATCTGTAGGGAAGGGCTCTTGTTGTTTTAAAGGTTGTGAATGTTTGTATTTTGTAAAATACTGTATAGTATAAAATGAATTAGAAAATGAGTTAAAACAACAAAGACATAAAGAGTACAAACCTAGTTTGTTTTCTGTTACTAGATTCAGAATTATACACAGTTACTCTGTAAAATTGCTAAAAAAGTTTGAGTGCTTTTAATTTCTGAAATCAGCTTGTTATGGACTCCTTACACACTCAGAAGCAGCAGGGAGCCTCACTGATGGAGAGTTTAGATGCCGCGTGGGGTTGTTCACAGGGTTCTTGTTCCCTGAGCACAAGAGTGCCTATACTTCCTAGAGTGCCTAGCCTAGTGCATGGACCATGATGGATGTTTACCAGATAAATGCTAGTTAAATAGTCCCTTTAAGAGACAATTTTTGTGTGCAGAATACAATTAAATTAATGGTAGCAAAACTAAAGCAAAGTGTGCTTTACCGTGTTTGGCAACTTCAAAAACTACATCTCTGTAGGTTTCAGAAAACTTTATTTCCCAGAAAACCACCATTTGTCCCTTGCATTGTGTATGCAGTAACATCGGCCACTGTTTATCTTTTGGTTTTAGATTGTGTCGGCAGCTAAGGTGTGTGGGGCTGCCAGTGAGTCACCATCAGTAAAGAGCCTCCGCTTGCTTGTTGCTGACCGAGATTTTTCCTTTAAAGCTGGCCAATGGTAAGTGGTTTTTCATTTTTCCAAGTATGCACCTTCAAGAAGGTGCCATCAGAAAGGAGGGATTATTTTTTCTTCAGCCACAGAAGTGGCTAGCCATTCCCCCAAGGGAGAGGAATTCTGCGTCATTTCCATTCAGGATGAGCCTTTTGGGGCATGGAGAATCTGATTCCTTTCCTGGCCTCAGAGCCTGCATCTCCTTCAGCTCCTTCAGCCATATATGAAAATTGCTGTCTTGAGTTTTCCAGATTCAAACAAAGCAGGTACTTCTCTACTTCCTGGAACCAACAGCTCTGATAGTTACATTCTGCAGGAATGGTTGCTAACAGAACACACTGCAGTAATCTAATCTGCTTAAGTTATGTGTTGCTGGGTATTCATGTTTTTAAAAATTAGTCTTCTTTATGTCCAGTGCAGAGTAAACAAAGCAGCCTGAAGTGTAGCCAGTGATGTCATCACAGAGCTGACTTCCTTCTTGACTGGATTCTTGTGTCACTCATACCTTGTCTGGGTTGAATTTAAATATTTTGCTTAATTTATTATGAGGATTTCCCAGTCAGGCCCAGCCCACACACACAGAAATTGTAAAATGTGTCCCATTTGACTCTAATCAGTATGCCGATAGGATAACAGCCCAGCTGTCCCTCTGTTCCTGGAATGGTCTCACTGAGTTGCAATTCAAGTTGAATTGTAAAGAAAGCAACTTGAATTTCTTAGGAAAGGTGTGTTTGGGTGTGTGTGTCCTTTATTTAAATAAAGCATTCATTTCCAAATGAATTTCTGGCATGTCAGTCTTGATAGTATGTCTTAGGAGTCACTTGACTAATTTTGGCAGTCCATCTGGAAATGTGGTTTTGTTAGAAGGAGGATGTGTGATAATAGCAAGTGTGATAATAGCAAGAGTTAGCAGTCTTGTGTTAATAGTTTGCCTTTGAATTTAGAACTAGAAAACAAGATGCTGATTGCAATAATTTGCGTTCGTGAAGCAATTTACTGCAATCTTTGCACATGTTCGATGATACATATTAAATGCATTTTGGCTGCTTTAAGGGGCGGGCAACATATTTACCCTTCAGAAATGGTTTAGCAGTTATTACATTGAAAGTGGAAACTTTAATTGTAATGATCTGTTTTTTCATATTTCCCTTCTGTGGAAGTGTTTGGTCCTATGCACAGCATTGTCTTTGTGCCTTCAACTCTGAATTCTCCCAAGACTCAGACCCTCGTCTCCTGGTTAGGAAAAGCTTGGAATCGTGCTGCCACCGTGGTGTGCCCGCAAGTGTATTAGCACTCGCAAACTGCAATTACCTGAGAAGAAAAGTGTCATCATTCCCTAGTGATATAAAGATAGAAGTGGGGTCCCACTGTGATTCTCAAGATTATTTGAGATTTATGTTATATGTATATCCTACCCCAGTGAGTGGATTTGGTTGTTTCACTAACTTTAGGCCTGGTTTTCACATGAGTCTAGCACTGCTGCTTTAGAGGGAAGACTTGGGGTGTCATCATCACTGGCTGGTTAGTGGTGACCCTTTCTCTGCCAGGTAACAATCAACATTGATACTTGGTCCCTGGGCCCTCTCCTTTTAAAAGATCCCACCCTTACCATAGACTTACTTTATTGCTCTAGGGGTTGTGAGTTCCTTTTGATATTTGACCTTGTGGTTTCAGAAAGGCCATTTTGCAAGATTAGCAGTGTCCATCTCTTTCATGCTATTGCTAGGATGGCTTTGTGTTGAAGGCTCTCTCAGATCATCAGCTCCATAATAACCTCCGTATGGCACTTTGGAGAAGAGGGCAAGGATTAGTGAGAGAGAGTTGGGATCATCAGGGTAGAGAGCTGCTGGAGGTAAAGGAGAGGATCACTGATGGGCTCTTCTTTGGGGTAAGAGATTGGGCCACATTCCTACATCTCTGCATTCTTGACTGGAGACCTCCTCTGATGTCTGCCAAATTCTGAGGATGAGGTTCCAGGCCCAACTCTAAATAAATAAATGAATAATAAATAAACAAATAAATAAATAAATGCTGTCTGACTAGGTGGAGCTTTGGCCACACATTCCCACATAGGTGAACACTTTCAGCACAGACCAGACATAGGCCTTGGAGGCGCTTCTTATGCTGCACTGGGTAATTATTGGGCCCTCCAGAGGGGACTGGTTCTTATACTGAAAAACCAGCTCCAAGAACTCTAGTAACCCTCCAGATCTTTCTTATATGAATAAGGATAAAGCCCATAGACTCTGAGACCTACCAGTAGGCCTGCTCCTTGCTTAGCTCTAGCTCTCTGGTGAGTCTTGCCTTTGACCAGAATTCCTCCTTCCAGTATAGAAAGATCTGTACTTCCTCTTGGAGCTGGAGCATGCCATCAACTGTCCTGCTGCCCTGCTGTGGCACTTGCTGCCTGCCTCCAGCAGTGGCTGTACTGGGGAGGCCATGTCCCCCAGTGTTCTGGAGACTACCCAGCTGCTGTGCTTGCTTTCTGCCTGTCAGCTCTGGGATGTGGGCAGTTTCCTTATTGCCTGGCCTTCAGTTTACATAGTTTGAAAGACAGTACAGTAGTATTCCTATGTCTGGGGATGTTTAAGGTATTGAGCACAATGCCTAATGTTAACTTGATTTGTTTTTATTTTTTGTTATTGCTAGTATTTTACTCAGTTATTTAGATCATCTGTGCTGGTGAGGCCCGCGGGAGGATAGGTTCCAATTCATAGCTCCTTGGTCATTTTCCTGCAGTGAAGCTGTTGGTTAGAAGAGTAGCAGTTCAGGTAGGCGTGGGTGAGTACACAGCACCACAACACTCCTTGTACCTCAGTCAGCTCCCTCTCCACATTTGGCTGCGCACAGGAAGCCCCCTGAGGGGAAGCAAGGCCAAAGCATTTTTGCAGAGAGAAAAGGCATTCTTGGTCCTGTGTGTTTCTGACTTTCTATAAGATATCAGTTTTTATGCTAGAAAGAACTTTGGGCCCTGTTGAGAGAAGGTGGAAAAAACAGATTAGAGGAATGAGACTCTGCCCTTACCTTTAGCAGAGCCGCTGTATTGTAGACATTCTACAACCTGCACAGCTATGTGCCGCAGCCCTGGCTCATAGAGGACCACACATAACAAGTGTTGCATTCCTTGACCTCTTCAGTCTTTCAGACTATCCCCCTCCGTTGTTTATCTGGTTAGCACTCTATCTTTTAAGACTCAGCTTAAGAGGCATCGCTGAGAAGTCTTTCTTAATTCCTCTACACTTGGTGGAATTTACTACTCCCTTCTCTGCTATACCCTCCTAAAACAGATTTTATCATAGCTCATTTAATTGTATATATTTGTTAATTTTCTTACTCTCAAAGTGGGTTTATTGAAGGCAGGAACATATTTATAGCTGTATACCTCCAGCAAGTGCCACAGTACCTGTACATGGTAGGCAGGTGTTCTCTGTAGTGTTTGCACACATGAATGAAGGAAGAGCTCTGAGTACTATGGCCAAGGACTGGCAGTTTTAGGATCTCAGAGTATAACATCATCATTTGCCCATGGTTTGCATGCCTGCTGTGTGCTGAGTGTTGGGGCTGCCTCTGTGGGCAGACATGGCTGCCTGGTGTGTTGTGGCCAGATGTGGCCCTGTTGCCTTACTACACACTTAGGCTCCTCCTCTCAGTTCTACATATGCTTACTCATTTAGAGTCCTCAACTTGTGGCTCCAAGAGCACCAGTCCTACATAGGGCATTGTTAAAGGTGAGTATTTAAAGCTTAATTTGTTCTTAGATGTTTTTTGAAATATGTTTTTTTCATGTTTCATTAAACCCATTAAAATGGGGTTTTTATATAGTTTGAATTCTTTGGTATCTTTTAATGAAGGATTAAAATACAAAATTATTTGTATCTTTTTTACCCAAAGGTAGCTTTGCAGAGTTACTGGAAAAGAAGGTTCCCTTTTGCTCACCTGAGAATGAGGTCTTTATCAGCATTGAGCAGCAGAGGGCGCTGCAATTCAGGAGATGAAGCTGTAAAAGAAGCTCATTTTTTTTTTTTAAACATGGAAACAGAGATTCTGTACATATCCTCTCTGATAGCATATATAAACTGTTATAAATGCTAACCATAGACTTTTAAATTTTTATCTCATCTGAAATAAAATAGAATTTACAGCCTTCATGGGAAAGAGTCAAGTGAAAGTAGGGACCTTTTCTGGAGCACTTCTAATCCAGAACTGATTTTTTAAGAATATAATAAATGGCTGAATGTTTAAGACCATCATATAAGTTTGCATGTAGGAAAACAACTAGGGAAAAATGATGCTTTTTGCTCTTTGAAAGCTAACACCTACATTGGATATTTCTTGGGTTGGGGGTGATTTTTGTGGTCCCAGGTTCTAATAAATTTTAGTATTGGTATGGTATATGACTAGGTTTGTTGCAGTTTCTAGAATCTCCACCAGGAAAGAGTTTCTGTGGCTTACAGTCCTTGAGGGGTTGAAACTTACAAGAGTTCTAGACAATAGGAGTATGGTTAGAAGAAAAGAAGGAAACATAAGACTAGAGTTCACAGCAGCCCATTTAATTTTGGCAAATGACAGCGAGAGAGTTTTGTTGGTTTTTCTGTTGCTGCCCTTTTTTCTCTTAAAAAAAACTATATATTGAGATAAAACTCACATATAACATTTATATGTTGAAAGTATACAATTCAATTACTTATTAGTATATTCACAGAGTTGTACAGCCATCAGCACAAATTTTAGATCATTTTCATCATTCCCCCCCAAAAACCTGTGATGATTACTCCTCATCCTCTTGCCCTCTTAATCATTTTCTGGCTCTGTGGATTTGTCTGTTCTGGACATTCATATCAGTGGTTATGAAATACATAAGGTATGTGATCTTCTGTGACTGGCTTCTTTCACTTCACACGATTTCAAGGTTCATCCATGCAGCATGTATCAGTACTGCATCCATTGTATGGATATACCACATTTTATTTCTATTTTTATCAGTTGATGGACATTCAGATTGTTTTCCACTTTGGGGTTATTATGAATAATGCTACTCTGAACATTTGTATACAAGCTTTTGAGTAGACATACACTATTTTTATTTCTCTTGGGTATGAACCTAGGTGTAGAATTGTTCATCTGGTATCTCTTAACATTTTCTAGCACCACAAAGCTGTTTTCGGTAGTGACTGTACATTTTATATTTCCACCAGCAATGTATAAAGGTTCCAGTTTCTCTAGCTCCTCCCTCACACTTGCTGTTATCATTTTGATTATAGCCGTCCTAGTGAGTGTGAAGTCGTAGCTCATTGTGGTTTACAGTTCCCTAAAGACAAATGGTATTGAACATCTTTTCCTGTGCTTATCATCTTCTTTGAAGAAATGCTAATTAAAATCTTTTGCTTATTTTCTATTTGGGTTGTCTTCTTATTACTGAATTATAAGAGTTTTTAATAAAATCTGAGTACAAGTCCTTCAGCAGATACGTTATTTGAAAAATTTTCCCCATCCTGTGGGTTGTTTTCTTTCTTAGTGATACCATTTCTAGTGCAAAGTTTTTAATTTTGATGAATGGTTTCTCTATTTTTACTTGACCTTTTTGGTTGTGAGCCATATCTAAGAAATCACTACCCTGAAGATTTACTCCTGTCTTTTATTCTAAGAGTTTCTAATTTCACCTCTTACCATTAAGCCTATGATCTGTTTTGACTTAATTTTTGTATTAAAAACCTTTGTTTTTGGCGTGTGGATATTCAGGTCTCCCAGTACCATTGTTGAGTAACTATTGTTTTGCCATTGAATTGGCTTGGCACCCTTGTCAAAAATCGACCCTAAATTTAAGAGTTTATTTTTGGACTTTCTGTTCTTTTCCACTGATATACATGTCTGTCCTTATGTCAGTACCACAGTATCTTCATGACTGTAGCTTTGTCATACCTTTTGAAATCAGGAGGTGTGAGTTCTCCAAGTATATTCTTCTTTTTTAAGATTGTTTTAATGATTCTGGATTCCTTGAATTTCCATATGAATTTTATGGCCAACTTGTCCATTTCTGCAAAGAAACGACTTGGGTTTTAGTAGGTATTCCACTGACTCTGTAGATCAGTTTGGAGAATATTGTCATCTTAAACAATGTTGTCTTCCATTCCATAGGGCATTTTTCCATTTATTTATATCTTTAGTTTTTTCCTGTTTTCTAGTTTTCAGGGTATAAGTTTCATACATCTTTTGTTAAATTTATTCCTAATTATTTTTTATTTTTATGCTTTTTATGCTATTATAAATGGAATTATTTTTCTAAATTTCACATTTGTATTGTTCATGGATAGTGTATAGAAATACAGTTGATTTTTGTATACTGACCTTGTATCATAAAACCATATTGGAATTTATTAGTTCTAGTATGTTTTTAGTGAGTTCCTTAAGGATTTTCTATATATGAGAGCATTTCATCTGCAACTTCCACCTCTCCAATCTGCATGCCTTTATTTTCTTACTTGCTTCTTTTGGCTGGAACCTCCAGTACAGTGTTTAGTAGAAGTGGTGGGAATAGACATCCTTTGCTTGTTATTGATCTTGGAGGGCAAACTTTCATCCCCTTACCATCAACTATAATGTTAGTTGTGGGTCTTTTGTAGGTAGCCTTTATCAGATTGAGGAAGTTTCTATTTGTTTAGTATTTTTATTATGAAGATGTGTTGGATTTTGTCAAATGCCTTTTCTGTATCCGTTGAGATGATCATGTGAGTCTTTGTCTTTTTTTCTACTAAATGGTATATTTCACTAATTTTCAGATTTTTTTGAGACAGAATCTCAAGCTATCGCCCTAAGTAGAGTGCTGTGGTGTCGCAACTCACAGCAACCTCAAACTCTTAGGGTTAAGCGATTCTCTTGCCTCAGCCTCCCAAGTAGCTGGAACTATAGGCACCCGCCACAACGTCAGGCTATTTGTTATTGTTGTTGCAGTTGTCATTGTTGTTTTAGCTGGCCCAGGCCGGGTTCAAACCTGCCAGCCTTGCTGTATGTGGCCAGCGCCCAACCCACTGAGCTATGGGCACTGCCCTGATTTTCAGATGTTAAACCAACCTTGTATTCCTGGGATTGGAGGTCAATATTAAAAAGGGATATTATAACTCTATAGTTTTTCTTGCTATGTCTTTGTCTGGTTTTGGCATAAGGGTAAGACTGCTCTCATAGAATGAGTTGGGAAGTTTTTTTCTTCCATTTTTGGAAGAGAATGTCAAGGATTAATATTAATTCTTCTTCAGATATTTGGTTGATTTTACTGTGATGCCATCTGGACCTGAGCTTGTCTTTGTCGGAAGATTTAAAATTACTAATTCAGGCTCAGTGCCTTTAGCTCAGTGGTTAGGGCACCAGCCACATACACCAGGGCTGGCAGGTTCAAACCTAGCCTGGCCTGCTAAACAACAATGACAACAACAATAAAAAAAACTAGCCAGGAGTTGTAGCAGGCACCTGTAGTCCCTGCTACTTGGGAGGCTGAGGCAAGAGAATTGCTTAAGCCCAAGAGTTTGAGGTTGCAGTGAGCTGTGATACTACGGCACTCTACCAAGGGCAGCAGCTTGAGACTCTGTCTAAAATAAAATAAAATGATTAATTCAGTCTTTTGACTTGTTACATGCCTGTTCAAATTTTTTGTCTTCTTGAGTCAATTTGGTAGTTTATATCATTCTAGGAATGTGTGCCTTGAATGGAAGCTAACTAATATTTCGGCATAGAATTGTTTACAGAATTCCTTTGTAATCTTTTTTATTTTTATAAGGTTGGTGATGATGTTCCGTCTTCTATTCCTGATTTTATTAATTTATCTTTTCTTAGAGTCTTGCTAAACATGTCAGTTTTGTTCATCTTGCTGCCTGTTTTTAAAATTGTTTCAACAGTAATCATTTATTTGCCTTTTAGGATTGATTTCTTTATCCCAGGAGTCTCTGTGGTTGGTGGATTTTCAATATGCTCCAGCCCAAGACTGCTAGAACAAGAGAGAATGATAGAGTTGGCAGTGAAATATACAAACCACCCTCCTGCCCTCTGGATTCACAATAAGGTAAGTAAATTGCATGTTTGAACTTGGCAGTCTGGGCATCTCTGCCTCCCACAAAATTTGTGTTCAGCTCACTTGATTCACCTAAGAAACCTGGGCTTGAATAAAAAAGGTTATATACAGATAAAGAGCTTTCTAGAAAGGTCACAAAACCAAAATTTTTTTTATGCATTAAGTATAACTCAAAGAGACTTTGGGATCTGGAAATATTTTCTGGGTTGCCAGATAGTACTCCATTGAATATTAATTTAGGATTAAAATATTTCATGTTTTATGTGAGTTTTTGAAAATTGACTTTCTATGTCTATGAATCATGTTATTTTTTTCCTAACCACCCTAAATAAAGGGAATTAAATTACTGTTCTGTCATTATTTGGAGGGAAACTATCTGATTACACGACACTGCTGGTGCCCAGATATGAGAACAGCTAAATCAGTGGTGCCATTACCCTTCCATTTCAGTCCCTAGAGAGCTCTTCACATGGGATTCTGACAGGGAAGCCACACTTGACAGCTGCTAATAACTCGTGCTTCACCACAGGGCTCGACATAGTCCTACATAAGCTGCTTGTCATTACCTACTAGAACTCTGATAACAGAGAATGAACTCAGAACAGATCCATTACTCGTTTCAGTTTTTGACCCTTGTCTCCTTTTCACTGCCATCTTCATTACTAGAGCGTGTCTTCTATCTGTATATACTAACACTCTCCATCCCATCCCAGGTGTTTTCTTATCTCCTCTACCAAAAAGAAATGTGCCATACAAATAGGGCTTCAAAAACTTAGCATTCTTCAGTTCTTTTCCTGGAAGTCATTGAGAATCAACAAAGGCAAACAGAAAATAAAAGTTCTCACTTTGTTTTCAGCAGAACTTGGAAACACACTTCAGTATATTTGTAAAGGTTGTAAAGACTTGTGTTTATGCAGAGCCACATGGGAATAAGTAGAGAAGAGAGGCCAACAGTAGAGATTTCAGAGAGCACCAATAAAAAATGTGGGACTGGGGATGGGACTTGCAGGCCTGGTCTGCCAAGGAGGGTATGGAAACAAGATTGAGTTTTGTGGCTGCAAAAGTTCCACCTGGACATAGTCAGGTTCCGTTAAGAGAGAGTGTACACCAGGAATCCCATAAATAAGCCATATTTGTAGGAAGTAATATATCCTTATAGTGGGTGAAGAGAGCTTTTGTGTTGTGAAAACCAGTTAGCTCAGGACACTTTCTTGCCTCATCCCCTAACACAGGACCTTGTTGCAAATAGTTGGCCCAGGAAAAAAAAAAATCACAGTTTATCTCAATTTTACGAAAGAAATCCAAGAAAACATGAGTAAATGGAGAGACATACTGTGTTCATGAAGTAGAAACAACATAGTAAAGAAGTCAGTTCTCCTTAAATTGATTAATATACACTAATCAAAATCTCAACAGAATTTTTTATAAATATAGACAAGGTGATATAGAAAGGAAAAGGACCTATGATAAGTAAAACAATTTTGAAAAGGAAGAATAAAATGGAAGGCATTGTATTACTCAAATTGAAGATTAAACTAAAGCTACGGTAATCAAAGCTGTGGTACTGTTGAAAGAAAAGACACATGGATCAATGGAACAGAATAAAGAGTTCAGAAATAAATGACATATACATGGCCATTTGATTTTTAACAAAGGCACTTTAAAAATTCAATGGAGAGAGGATAGCTGTTTCAATAAATAGTGCTGGAACAATTATACATCTACCTGCAAAAAAAAAAAAAATTTAATGTAAACCTTATGCCTTATTCAAAATTACTCAGTGGGTTATAGATCTAAATGGAAAAACATGAAACTATAAAAGTTCTAGAAGAAAACATAAGAAATAGATGGAACTTGCAGGTAGATGAAGAGTTCTTAGACACAACACCGAAAGCAAGATCCATAGAAGAAAAAGTTGATAAGACTTAATCAAAATTAAACATTTTTCTGTAAAAGACACTTAACAGGGCTCGGCGCCTATAGCTCAACCGGCTAAGGCGCCAGCCACGTACACCTAAGGTGGCGGGTTCGAATCCCCAGCCCGTACCCGCCAAACAACGATGGCTGCAACCAAAAAATAGCCGGGCGTTGTGGCGGGCGCCTGTGGTCCCAGCTACTTGGGAGGCGGAGGCAGGAGACTCGCTTGAGCCCAGGAGTTGGAGGTTGCTGTGAGCTGTAATGCCACGGCACTCTACCCAGGGCGACAGCTTGAGGCTCTGTCTCAAAAAAAAAAAAAAAAAAAAAAAAAGACACTTAACAATTAAAAAACAAGCTACACACTTGTAGAAAATGTTTCAAATGAGATAATCCAACAAAGGACTTGTATCCAGAATGTGTGAAGAGCTTTCAAAAGTTAACAAAAGACAAAAAATGTATTTCCTTTCTTTTCCTTTTTTTAGGGGGGGTGGGGCAGAGTCTCCCTCTGTGCCCTGGGTAGAGTGCTGTGGCTCACAGCAACCTCAAACTCTTGGACTCAAGTGATCCCCTTGCTTCATCCTCCTTAGACAGGCGCCTGCCACAATGCTTGGCTAGTTTTTTCTATTTTTAGTAGAGACGGGGTTTTGCTTTTGGTCAGGCTGATCTCCAAACTCCTAAGCTCTGGTGATCCACCCACCTCGGCCTCCCAGAGCACAAGGATTACAGGTATGAGCCACCGCACCCAGTCAACATAATTTTTTTTAATGGGTAAAGAATTGAATAGACACTTTGCTAAAATTTAAGGATGGCAAATGAAAAAAATGAAACAATGAAAAGGTGTTTAACATCATTAACCATTAGGGAAAAGCACTACAGACCTATTAGAATGACTACAATGAAAAATACTGACAATACCAACTGCTGGTGAGGATATGGAGCAACTGGAATCTCCTGTGTCTTTTATATTGCTAACGAGAATGCAAAATAGTACAGCCATCCTGGAAAACTTTTTGGCAGCTTCATATATAAAGTTAAGTATACATTTATCAGATGACCCAGCAATATCACCCTGGAGTATTTATTCTAGAGAAATGAAAGCTATGTTCATATAAAAACCTAACATGAATATAGCAGTTCTATTCATAATTTTCAAAATTTAGAAAAATCCAAATATCCCTCAACAGGTGAATGGATAAACTGGTATGTTCATCCAGTGGACTACTGTGTTATTGATGCATACAGCTACTTGGGTGGATCTCAGCAGCATTATGCTGAGTAGAAGAAACCTGTTCCCAGAGTTTGCATACTCTATAGTCCATTTCTGTCACATTCTGGAAGACAAAACTACAGTGATGGGAAAAAGATTGGAGTAGAGAAGGCTGTGAACATAAAGGGATAGAACAGAGTTTGAGGGGAGGGGTCATGGAACTATTCTGTATCTTAATTTTAATGATTCTATGTATGTATTAAAATTCATACAGCTGTATACCAAAAGAAAACATGTTACTGTAAAAGAATTTTTAAAATGATTTTTAAAAATTTTATAAGGGCATAAAAATACATTCTTGTGGTTGACACATCAAGTTGTGTCTGTTCAAGATTATTATCCCCAGGTACTTCCATTAGTATTTCCTGTAAATGTAGTATCCTGTCTGTCACATTTTTACCCTCCAACCTCTGAGTCTTTCCTTCAGTATAGCTTCAGCTGCCTTATTCCTTTTTAGGTTCTCCGTAGATTTGCCACCCATTACTGTCTTTAGGCTGCTCTTGAGACCCTAAAATGGATTCCTGGAGTGGGACCAACAAGGTTTTCACATGCTCCTTGCTCAGAGTTGAAATGAGCAAGCCATCCCAGCTCCTAGTGCCATGAGCACTCCCCACATCCCCACTGGTCCTCAGCCTCCCTTTTGTGACCTGGCCGGGTCCTGGTCCATAGCTCCCTGCTTTGTTTCATGCCTCATTGGCATTTCAATGAAGGAATTTATTCTTAAAGGCTGTAGAAAATCTCTAAGTGGCATTGCCTGAATGCACCTCCTAATTGTAGTGCCTGCTCTACTCTGCCCAGTGGGAGTTGCAGGCAGCCTTTATGAAGGCAGATTTTTCTTGGAACCATTTTCAGGTGGCTATTTTTCTCCTGAGGATTTGTCTTAGTATGCTATTAGAGTGGACAATGGAGGCACGTGAGTGTCCGGGTGGCAGCAGGCTGCTCTGTTGGGACATTGGAATAAAGTCCCATAAACGTCTTCCTTTATTTTATCTGCTTTGGCTCAAACTTCTGGCAGGGTAAAGGGTTCTAGACAGCTATTGTGTGTTTGGCTCCAGTTGCTGTGGAAAGGTTGTTTATTTCACAAGTAGAAAATCTATACCCAAATTAGATACATTTCTACGTAATTGAAGGTAATGCCCTCTTACTCACTTACATGTTATACTGTTCAGTACTTTTGTCTTGTGTTCATGCTACCCTGGCCGTTTTTATTGATCAACACAAGACAACAGTGGTTTTTGATTCTTTCCAGATGCTAGCAAATTAGAAGATAGACCTACTGGAGATTATTTTGTCATTAAGGAAAAACAGGCTTCTTGAGTATTATCTTTCCCTGGGGCACATATTCTTGCCGGCTTCAGGTTGAAAATACTTTTTTTTCTAAAAGCAGTAACCTGAAGGCTTTTTTTGTTGTCATTACTAAGCATGTCAGAGGTGTCCATTGGAGAAAATTATTTCTCTCTCATTTCTCAGTATCTTTCACTCTCAGATTCTCATAAAGAGAGAAGTGTACAGGCAAGCAAGGGAGGGAGATTATAGAAAGATGAATCCATTGTTATCATTAGGCAGAGCCTCTCCTGTCTTAGATTCTATTTTTGAGACTTGAAAGGAAGGACCATTTTAAAGCACTTTGGTAGCCAGTGTAGCAATTCCTAGGTTTTAGTTGTTCCTAACCTAATGCACCCTTGCTGCTAATTTCTTTTGTCAAAAATGAAAACCTACTTACCATAATTCTTGTAACAATCTCCTACATATTTAAAATAGTTAAGTTCAGACATTTTTCCCCTCAGAGAAAAGGTTTCTATTCATTTAACATTTCTTTACCAAAAAGGACGTTTTGTGCATTCAAGTAATTTTCACTTTCTTCTTAGATTTTCTCTAAGTTTAACTCATCTTTAAATTGTAGAGCTCAAATTAAACTCATGTCCAAAACTCCTTACTGCTCATCTTCTAAATGAGGTGCCAAGGTGTGAATACTAAAGGTTTGATCCTCAAAAAGCATATAATATATTATTACTTCTTAAAAGAGAGTTAATTTAGTTGATTTATGCCAGGAATGTAATGTGTAAGAGGAGAAATCTGTGCTTTTAAAATTTCTTTATTCTTGGGTTCTGTTTCTCTGTTGTTGTTATTTTGCTTAGTCAAACAATTTTAATCAGGTTGGATGAAAAGCAGTAAAAGTGCAACTACACAAAAATTCTCGTGTTTAAACTGTTGTGCATTGTCTTATAAGGGTTAAAGGTGGGATCCACCCCTGAATCTTCTTTGTAGTGCTGGAATAAGGAACATATTCTGGGGTGCCACTCACATCGCATTCATGGTTTGTCCAAAGGAGTTTACAAGCACTGTGTGGTTTTATTGTTGGAGGATCATCAGTCAGACGGTGAGGCCAGCAATGCCATTCAAGAGGCACCATACTTCCATCCATATCCCCAAATGTGTTTTTGCTGTTTATTTTAATGGTATATATGTGTATGACCCATCAATAACACTCAAAAACTGCTTGCTGTTTTCATAGTATTTGTTTTGGTGCTTGTCTTCCCCCGCTAATGTACCAACCTCCACATCATGTGCCTTGAATAATTCATGGGTAACCGAGGAGTGGCCACAGACCTGCCCCAGCTCATGCGTTAGGACTTGCAGTAACTCCGTCCTGTCCTGCAGGCCCTGGATTTGGTTTTTTGGTGACAGGGAAGGAAGAAGCAGGCACTCTCAGCCCTTCTTCCATGACAGCCACAGTGACTAACATATCATCTTGCATAGAGCCTGATACCAGCAGGGAGTTTTCTCCCACTGTTAGTCTTCATTATGAGTGGGCAGGGCAGATGCTGTCACCCATTTCCTGGTGTGGCATCAGAGACTTGGAAAAGATAAGGGGTAGCAATGGATTTAAATAGAGACTATGATTAAAATGCAGTTTTCTAGGTCTGTGTGTTTTTACCTCAACAATGGGTTACCAGCCCTGTCTCTGCTGATGCCCTCTTTCTAGAACTATCCTGAAATGAACTTTATAGTTAATGTTATGAACACATAATATTTTTTAAAAAATAACATAATTGTCTAACTGTAATATAAAGAAGTAAAGTGATCCATAATCAAAGAATGTGTATTTCAGTACATTAGATGAATAATTGGGCATATCTAAACTAGAAGATAAAATGAATTGGTCAGATGATTATTCCTAGTCATAGAATCACCATGATTGCACTGCCCATGAATGAATACAATATGTCTGCATGTGTGTTTTATAGGTGACAGGACCACACATGTCACCATCTGGGATGTGGTTTTCCAGAACAGTTGACATGCTTGGTAAAGTTCTGACAGAGTACAGTCTACATGGTGGTTATGTGCTAGAGAATTAGGACCAAATTAGATCTGTGTAAAAAACACTTGGAGTTTATTTGTAAAACTAGTTAAGGTCTGGTCTCAGATCGCTACAAACCTATTGGAGGTAGTGGTGAGCATAGCTGCGTCCAGTACAAACCAGGCTTTACCTACGTGAATGTCCCATGGGCTATTCAGAAGTTGTTATGCAGGACAGTCCTGTACAGTGTAGATAATGATGTGCTGGTAAACCAACTATCGGAATTAAAAAAATAATAAGAATAATCCCTGACTTGTACCATTTGCTGTGGTATAAATGCTCCCACAATGGCTGATTTCAAAATACCAGTAGAAACTGGCTCACAAAATTCCTGTAGATTTAACCATCAGCTTAGCAGGAGCCAGTCCAGGACACCACTAATTTTTCAAGATCTCCAACATCTCTGTCCCTATCCTCTAAATGCCAGTTGGGTTTCCCAAATCATTGTGACAATAAAAAATGTCACAACAAGTTTCCAAAACACCCCTGTCAGGGGCAGTATCACCCCATTGGAACTAGTGCAACTCTGATGATTATTTCTGGTATAAATGACTGACTACACAGTAGATACTTTACCTGGGTAGGTCTGAGTGATATTCTCCACCTGAGAAGCCTTTGGCCGTTTGTTCTTGCTGTTCTAGGAAGAGGGAACAGCCCTGGTCAGTACTGCTCTAAGCCTGTAGAGCTGGTCGGGCTATGCCCCATGGGGAATCAGGAGGGAGTCCCTGTACTTGACTTTTCAGCCCTGATGAGCCAGGGCAGCCAGTGGAGTGACTCTCACCCCTCCTGCCTCCCAGGCAGGATCAGACACAGGAGCACCACTCAGATAAAGGAGATCCATACTACAGGAGCTGTCCCCAGCCTTGTGAGTCCATTACCTTTTCCTCAGCACACTTCATCACTGTAGAAGTTAACAAATGGCAAAATTACTGAAGTGCGTCTCTCTTTCTCAGTGTTGGAGTGGCTGTGCAATATGGATTATGAGGGTAGCAAATGCTTATATAATGGACAAGTGGAATCAATTTACAGGGCCTCAGGAAAATTGGAAGCAAGCTGTAAAAACAGTCCTAAATACTGATAAAAATGCAGGCAGTAGACCCAGTTTTATTAAAGTAGAACTTTTGGCTTAAGACCTGTGCTGTAAAAGACTAAAGGATCTTTTCTTTTCTGCCTTAGTGTACACTTGACTCTGAAGTGGCTGTAAGAGTGGGTGGAGAGTTCTTCTTTGACCCTCAGCCTGCAGATGCTTCTAGAAACCTAGTGTTGATTGCAGGAGGAGTTGGAATTAACCCCCTGCTTTCCATCCTGCGGCACTCAGCAGATCTCCACAGAGAGCAGGCAAACAAAGGAAGTGGGTATAAGATAGGAACAATAAAGCTGTTCTACAGTGCGAAAAATACAAGTGAACTTCTCTTTAAGGTAAGGCTGAAAATGTATGTTTCATAGCACACTTGTGTAGTGGTATTAATTGTTCATGAAAATTTCCTCTCTAGATTCTGTTTTCTCTACAAAGATTCAAACAAAAGGCTTAGCAAGGTTTAATCTCTTTGAAAAGAGAATTAAGCAACACATCTCACCGAGGACAATTAAAACTGCTAGTGGTGAGTGAGAAGGCTTCCAGTTCAGTGACAGGAAAGGATCGATTTTGGTGGGATAGAATCTGGAGGTTGGACAAACAGAAAAGTCATCATGGCCTTGAGACTCTGGAGAGTCAAGAGAGCCCTACAAGTGGGCTTGTGTGTGTTGGGAGTAGGCAAGACTTAAGATAGTTTAGACCCAGCTGGGTAAATGAAACCCCCATCAGTTGCATCTGTTGAAACTAAGTACATTGGCTGGAGAAGGCTTTCCCTGGGGATTGCTTTCACAGCTGCAGGAATGAACAAAAGAACAGAAACAGTTAAAAGACACAACTGTGGTCAGTGAAACTGCTGCTTAATTGCCAATGCGGGAGAAAAAGGAAAGAGAAAAAACTCCCGGAGAGTTGGTAATATGCTTGTTAGCATATTCAGATTTCAATTAAAGCCGAATAGCCCTCTGTACTCTGAATGCTCTGGCCTGCTAGGCTGCAAACAATATCTCTCTAAGTAGAGAGCAAGAGTGGCAGACGTGTGCAGAATGGGAGTTGAGGTTCAGCATCAGTGGTTGTGCACATCTGTTTTTATTTTTTAAAATTGTAGTGTGACAAAATATGTTTGACATTCCAGAAAAATATCCTCGATTTAGTAAATGAATTTCCTGAGAAGATTGCATGCAGTTTACATGTTACAAAACAGACTACACAAATCAGCGCAGAACTCAAGCCTTATATCACGGGTGAGTCCCCTAAAGATATTTTGACCATCTCCATGCAGTTGTTTGAGGGACATGCTAGTTGGTTGAATGTAGATGCTTTATTGTTGGGAATTGCTGGTTAGAGAGGTCAGTACCTGGGGAATGAGATAATTCATCAGGGGAAAAAGGAGATATTTAGTTAGATTTACTTATTACATATGGTATTCTGCCCATATAAAAATTTATTTTCCACAGTTTTTACAGGGGACTTTATCATCACTGTAGTGTACATATAAAGAATTTATATTCTAGCCATGACTGTGTTACCAAATGGAGAGGGTCCAGCTGCCTGTCACTGTCATCCAATATGCTGAGAAGGGGATAGGTACATCAAACCTATTTGTCAGAAGGCCAGCGATTCTAGAGAACAGTGAGAGTAACCTTTCCAAGACTGTTGTTCTGCCTATGCAACAAACTTCAATAACTTATATAGGGGATAATTTCAAAGCATACTAAAAATACATTATACTTATGTGATTAACAACATGTAAGTTAAATATGGCAATCAAAAGAATAACCAAAGAAAATCATTATCAAAAGAAACATCATGCCATTAATCTCTTCCATAGTGCTCCCAGGTTTCTTTCAAGATGATTATCTCTATTACCTGTTCCTGGGTTGGCCTGTGTGACTCACTGTTCCTATGTTTCAAAGTGCTTCCTGAATTCACAAAAAGCTAAAAAAGGTTGTGGGGGTCACTGTCTCTACTACAACTGAATTGATTCCATTTGCCACTAATGGTCATTTAAATTACTCATGATTCCCTGCTTGGAATGATTTTTACAAAACAGTTTATTTACTTTGCTAAAGGCAGTTTTGCATCCCCACCAAAGACCAGTAAACTAACTGGCTCTTCCTGAAGAGTGCTGTTAGATGAGCTTCCTCCGCTGCCTGCCATAGTTTAGGAAGCGTGGACATGCTCTCTTCTTGGGGCTGGTCCTGGGAGGCCAACAGGAGCTCAATAACTGGACTCACTGTGTTACAGTTATTGTATACAAACACTTGGCTGGGTTGTGGTTAGTCCTTCCTCATTTGAGTATACAAACATATCTGGCTTAATTTGGTATTTATTCTTTTTGATAGAAGGAAGAATAACGGAGAAGGAGATAAGAGATCATATTTCAAAAGAGACTTTGTTCTATATTTGTGGCCCACCTCCAATGACAGACTTTTTCTCCAAGCAACTGGAAAATAGCCATGTTCCCAAAGAACACATTTGCTTTGAGAAGTGGTGGTAGAAGCAGGCAAAGGCAGAAGAGAGGAGAAGATGATGAGATCTGCTCAGGATAGTAAGAGAGAGATGTCATGTGGCAAGGTGAATTGATCCCCTTCTTAAGACTGTGAACTAAATGACCAGCTGGAGAGTGAAAGAAAAGCCAGCTGTTGTTAAATGGTAAACTTTTTGATCAAACTTTTTTTACTATATTGATTTTCTTTATTAATAACTATTTAATTATCTCATCATGTATCAAGAACTGGTCAATATAGATTTTGTTTTGCCCTTAGGCAATAAAACAATATATGTTTAACATTTAACCATAGGAAAATGTGGTTTTGTGTATGAAATGTGGGCTAATTTGGCAGCCATCTATGTATCTTACATTCAATAAACTTATTTAAATACATTCTTAATAATTTTACTTTGAAAATTCTTCATATTCAATGCCTTTGTTTACTTTATCACACCAGCAGCCTTATTGAAACCATCAGAGTTGAGTATGGAAATGGAAAATTGTTAGGAAACTGCTTTAGGGTGTTGGCTATCCAGTGTATTTTCTGTTTTGTTAATGAATATCCTAAGTATGTCTCCTAATTGTTAGTCTCTTCTAAGATGAAACCCATTCTATGTCTTGGCTGCCTGCAACACACTGTTGGAGGTGGCTTCTTATTTGGGACAAAGGCATTGGTATCTGTTGGGTTCCGTGTTAAACCTATCTTTGGTGACAGGGCAGGCTAGCTGTGGAAGTGTGCTTAGAATTGAGTAAAGGATATAGAGCCATTTTCAAATACTGCTTTTCCACTTTTTATTTCATTCCTTTTTGCCAAAGTTCTTCCTCACACCAGCAGCTACATAGCACAGTTGTTAAATGACTGACAGAGAGCAACTAACGTTTCAACTCCTTAAGTCTGCGTTTGGGAGGCAGGTCCCCAAGGAAGATGGAAGATTGGTGGAGCTTCATCCCAGAGGTGCTCTGATGAAAGTGCTAGTAAGCAGACTGTAATTTGTATCTTTTTGTTAGTTTTTAAAAATCCAAAAGAGGGCTGACTAAGACGAGGTCTTTCTTTTTAGGACAAGCAGTCTTGGGCCCAAGGCTGCCTGCTTGGAGAACACAGGGAGAGGGAGCCTGGGAAGAAATAGATCTGTATTGGGAACCCAGAAGCTCCAGTTGAGATTCTGTTCTTGAGCTGATGAGAAAGACAGATTGTCCCTATCTCTGTTGCTGTAGGCCTGCCAGGGACTTGTGAGCTCAAACACATATAAACTGGCCTCTGCCCTGTTTTGAGTTTTGTCAAGTTTTAAACCAAGATCGTTTGTCAACTATTTTGATCCCAGATTTGAATTCAGGGATGAAGGGAGGAGCCATTGACCAGATGGGGATTTCACAGTCCATTCAAGAAAACTATCACCAGCACTGCAGGGGTGATGGGAATGTGTGAAGCTCTGGGGTAGCACAAGGAGCCCTGACTCATCATTTGCTCCAGAGTGTCCAGGTTGAGTATTTAAGAGCTGTAGGAGCATAGCACAATGAGATTCAGGGATATGGATCATCAAGGGGTCTTCTGCCAACTGGTGAAGACCCAGGTATGGGGAACGTGCCCAGCGCAGGCCTGTCTGTGCTGGGAGTGGAGATGCAAGGTGAGCATCTTCAGTGCACATGGGACTGGAGCACAGTGAGCTACCACCCACTGCCACTGTTGGAGTCAGTACCACTGCTGTGTGCCTGCTCTTGTCAGAGAGCAAGGACCAGGTGTCCCAGAGAACCCAGCTTTGCCTGCTGTCACCTCATTGTCACCATCTGTGAACTGCTAAAGGTGCTCCTTTCAGCTCTGTTGTTCTGGTGCTAAATGATAAACAGCATTTTCTGGTCTACCGGCCAGTAATGTCCTGTTGCCCTTGCCTGCTGGGCCTGTCTAGATCTCTTTGGT